CACTCACTCACTCACTCACTCACTCACTCACTCACTCACTCACTCACTCACTCACTCACTCACTCACTCACTCACTCACTCACTCACTCACTCACTCACTCACTCACTCACTCACTCACTCACGCACGCACTCACTCACTCATATGTCCTTCTTCAGGTGTCGACGCGCCACGGCGAGACAGGTGTCAAGCTCGTATCGTGATGTGCACCGACTCACACTGACTTCCACGCCAGCCTGCCCTCCCTTTCTGCAACTGCCTGCCTGCTGTTGCTTGTTCTGCTTGCTTGGCCTTTTGTTGTGCATTGGGCCTGCTTCCTGGTTTCTGTTTCCCCATTTGTACACACGCGCGCGCGCGCATCACGCACGTGCTCTTGTTCTTGTGCGCTTTCCTGCTTGTTTAACTTGAGCTTGCGCGCGGCGTTGGAAAGACATTGCTCATCGACGCAATCTTCGAATAACGAAGCGACAACAAACCATCGCCTCTCTTGGAAATGGTGTGAAGCGGGAGTGAGAGCGAGGGGAGGAAAGTGAACGCAAAGGCAAGCAAACAAAGTAATGTTATGTAACAAAATGTAACGTGACAGCGGTGATGCAATGAAGCAGAACGAGTGAGCGCAAATTGGTGCGGCAAGTAGTTGTTAACAAGTCAGATGAATGAATCAATGCCAGCACAACATGAACGAACGAAAGAAGAACAACAAAGAATAAAACGCAAAGAGATGCATGTGCATGTGTAGGTGTGTCGTGTAGTAGCGTTTACGTTACACGTCATCCTCGTCACTGTCTGAGTTTTCATCATCGCTTTCCGGCAGCCAGAAGAGGCCAAAGACGCGCCTGGTGTTGTCTGGTCCCGGCTGCACAACGGTGGCCTCCTTCGTCTTGGCGATGGGGGCAGCGGCCACGGTGTGCGTGACGCCCACGCGCGAGGTGGTGTTCCTCCTGCGGCGAACGGCGGTGGCGATGATGATGACGATGAAGAGGAAGAAGGCAGCCCCGGCACTGGCGGCTATCGGGATGATGTAAGATGTAGTGGAGGAGGAGCTCTTGGAGTTGGTGGCGGGCGAGTCACCAAAGGCTGTGCACTGACCATATGCATCGCAGGCGGTGCACAGGGTGTCAATTTCGTAGTTGCAGCACGATGATTCGCGGCATATGCCGGAGGAACAGTGTTCGTCGTTGTCGCAGTAGTAGCCGCCATCGTACGCGCTCCTGATGTCAGAGCATTCGCCGTTGTCGTCCAGCTGCAAGCCAGAGGCGCACCTGTCGCAGTTGCCGTACACATCGCAGGAGGTGCAGCCGTTGACGTAGCCGGAGCAGCACCTGTAGTTAGAGCAGAACCCGCTCTGACAAACGCCATCCGAGACGCACGAATCCCCGGCATAAGCGCTGCCCTGGTAAATGCAGTTGCCGTTTTGCACGTAGTACCCAGACTGGCACGAGGAGCACTGGCCGAGGTAATTGCATGACTCGCACGCGCTGGACACGCCTGAATTGCAGCAGTAGCTGCCGCGGCACAGGTAGCTTTCGCACTGGCTGCTGTAGGAGCAGGTGCGGGCATAGGCGGTTGCGACGCTGGGCGACTGCGTGGTTGTGGTTGATGTGTAGTAGCAGTTGCCATCGAACAGGGTGTAGCCGCTGTAGCACGCCACGCAAGAGCCGTAGTAGTTGCAGCTAGCGCAGCGGCTTGACACACCGGGGCGGCAGCAGTACGGGTAGCCACATTTGCCAGAAGGGCACTGGTAGTTGTAGGCGCAGTTTCGGCCATAGGAAAACGGTGTGGTCGTTGTCGTGGTGGTGCTTGAATAGGCGGTGCCCGGGTAGTAGCAGTATCCATTGGACAGCGTGTAGGGGCTGGCACATGCCGTGCACTGCCCATTGTAGCCACAGCGGGTGCAGCGGCTTGACGTTCCAGGAGCACAGCAGTATGGGGAGCCACATTTGCCTGAAGAGCACTGGTAGTTGTAGGCGCAGTTCCGGCCATTTGTGTTTGATGTCGTTGTTGTTGTGGTGGTGGTTGTGGTTGTTGTGGTTGTTGCGGTTGATGTAGTTGGTGAAGTTGGTGAAGTTGGTGAAGTTGTTGTTGTTGTTGTGGTGGTGGTGGTGGTTGTGGTGGTGGTTGTGGTAGTTGCGGTTGCTAGTGTTGTGGCTGCGGGTGCTGTTGTTGTTGTTGTTGTTGTCGTTGGTGAAGTTGATGTTGTAGTTGTTGTAGTTGTTGTAGTGGTTGTTGTAGTGGTTGTGGTTGTGGGAGTACACCCGCCTTGCACCGGCACAAAACCTGTTGTGCACTGGCTGCAGCCGCCCGAGGCGTCGCACGCAGTGCACAATTGCCCGAAACTTGCCGCGTACGGGTGACAGCATCTGCCGCCCTTGCAGGTGTCAGACTCGCAGGTCGTGGACTCCGCGCACGGCTCGCCATGGTCGATGTTGTCGAGTTGGAAGTCGAGGGTGAAGAATGCGGTGCGGCCGCCAGTGAGGCCCACGTTCAGCTGGCACCGCCGG